GATAATTACGCATAATTCAAAAAAATATTACAGATACTAATAACTCTCCAAGGTGTTTGGCTTGTGACACCCATCAATTTAACCCTACAAGGGCTAGGGCGGAATCCGTCCCCCCCCCCCCCCCCCCCCACCCTTCAACTTTTTCCGCGATTTCCTGAATTTTTTTTTTTTTTTTTCGCGACCCGAGCTGTTATGACTTTTTAGACTCGAGCCTTGCGCATCTTTTGATACCAAAAAAACATAAAAATCAGACCACGGGTTGTCACGCAGCGAAACATTTTCAGAACTGAACTTTCCCATATACGTCGTAAACAGAGAGCAGAATTACCATTCGTGCATATGAATAATTAATTAGCCATAATTCCTAAACCCTTTGACCTTTAGTCATGACATTTCTTGGGTATGTTCATGATGAGTTGTTCTATGCATGTGCCGAGATTTTTTTGCCCCCTCCCCCCTCCCCCCCCCCCCGGCTGAGAGATGGTCAAAATAACCCGGCCATTTTAGGGTTAAAGCTTATTTCATCATCTTTCATTATCTGCTCATTTTTTGGGTAGTTAACCGATGACGTTTGGGAGAAAATTCCATCCAAAGATGATCACCCCTAAAAGTAGTCCTGTGGCCCATCGCCATTGTGAAAAATGCCTGCGCTCCATTGCAAAATATAGCATTTTTAGGGCCCAACTTTATCATCCGAATTTCACAGAAATACGAGCTCTTAGTCCTCTGCACGGCTTTCACTAACATTTTTGTTTGCAAAGCTTCAAGTTCATGGCCCACAAAATGCTCCAATTGCAAAAGAAAATTGGGCACGCAAATAGTGATTTGGCCCACGTAGTAAATTTTGGGGCTATATTTAGGCCAATCCCCCCCCCCCCCCCCCACCACCATCTCTTCGATTTTCCTTCTTCAACGTGTCATATTGAGGGCGCACTTCTCAAAAACAATTCAAGTCACTTGCCAGTATTAAAGAAATAAATAAAGAACATGCGTTCGTCTTTGTCAGGTGTTGATTAAATATGGCACAATACGTTCAAATAACCCAAACAGGCCAAATAACAGTATAATTGAAGACTATTTATTAATCGTAAATTATGGATTTGCTAAGTCACTGGTTACACTACGGTTACAAAATGAGCTAGAGGGCGCTCTCAGCGTAAAACAAGGTCGATTAAAGGGTGCAGACCTAGCTGTAAATAAGCCCAAAATTGCCTACGCCTGCCAAATCACGATTTGCATGCCCTCAAATTCTCAGATATTAGAGCATTTTGAGGGCCTTGAATTTGAGACGGGTGGAAGCCTTGCAGAGGACAGTGAGCTCGTATATTTGTGTGAATTTTGGCCATAAAATGGCTTTATTTTGCAATGGAGCGTAGGCGTCCATTTTCAAAATGGCGATGGGCTTCAGGACAGCTTCTAGGGGTGATCATCTTTGGATGGAATTTTCTCCCAAAAGTCGTGGGTTAACTCTCCCAATAATTGAGCGGGAACAAAATGATGAAATAAGCTTTAATTTGATGTGTGTCTCAAACACCTTGGAGAGTTGTGAGTATTTTAAAATAATTTTGGGAACTGCGCGTAATTATTTCTATGACAGTCTATATTGTCTGGAACCATGTTGCGCTACACTCAGTCTTCTGCGTCCGAACCTTGGGTGCTTTTGCCGATAACAACTTTCGGTTTGGGTATAATTTCCACTTGCACGCAAACATAATATTCCTATGTATGTGCCTTATTATCTATGGGAACAATTTTTCAAGTGATCTCCTCCTACCAAGTTTGACCCCCCCCCCCCCAAAAAAAACCAGTTTTTTTCTTTTTTTTGGGGGGGGGGGGGTCGGGGTGGATTGACCCAATTGACTTCAGCTCGTCTTCCCAGTACTAAATCCAACAAAACAATTATTTCTCAGTTTATGAAAGTGACTTAAGGAAAAGAATTGGTACAGTATTAAAATCAAAATGTCGATCATTTTAATATTATTAAAGGGAAAATACAACATTTGCAAACATCAAAAAATAAAACTCCCGAATCATTTTGAAATACCTTGCTGGACTGTTAGTGAATGACAGTGTAAAGCATCCTGTAAAATCATGGCACCTGGTACACTGTCATTTTCAAGAAAAGTGGTATTTTTGTATCAATTTCCAACGCTGATCGGCCGACCAGCGTTGGAAAAAAACTGGCTTTTTTTCAAATACTGGCCCCAATTGACCATCACACTTGTTTGCAATCGATTACACACCTATGAACGGGTACAAGCCAGCTAGACTGGTTCCATGACCTTACAATTCCCCCAATGTATGTAAACTGCTCTGTTTCTTCTTAAATGGAGTCAGGGAACTAGACTACAGGAAAATGATGGTTTTTCTTGGTTTGTAAAGCATTTTTGAACCCAAAACCTCAAAAAAGTCAGTGTAACTATATTTGCTATATATGTCAAACCCCCCAATTCCATCCATTTCTGAAAATTACAGCAAAAGCAAATGATGTATATTCCCTTTAAGAACCATCTTAAAATTCATAGCCAGTAACCTTAAAGCTGTATTTTGGTGGTCAAATTTTCCCGTGCATGCACGATTAAGCCTAACATGGTCTTTTGCTTTTCATGTTTAATTTTTTAAATTCGTTTCCAATAATACCACCACTCAAAATCTCAAATGGATATTACTCGGAAAAAAATAGTGAACAACCATGCACAACCTTTTCTGGACGAAGCACGGTTCTGTTAAACAACAAAATTATAATGTTTATTTTAACGATCAGTCAATTATTAACCGATTGTTGAAAATCACCTACATCATTGTCTCGCTTTCTCCGAAATGACAGAAAGCTAGACGGAATAATTTCACGGGCTGTTTAGTACCAGTTGATCCTTAATCCAAGTAAGCTTTTCGATAATAAGTCGCTAAGTTATAGTCCTACTTTTGGGATAAATGCAAATGCAATGCCTTTCAGCTAGCAATTATAATATGGCAGTAGCAATGACTGGATGCTAATTGCAGCTTGATTGGAAACCCGCACGTGGATCAAAAGATCGAAACTCGTAAATGTAGCGAGTGTTCTACGCACCGCGCACAATATATAGCGGTCGCCGGGGGAAAAAAGGCGATCGATAAATGATGACCATGACCGTCAGTATAGCGAGGCTAGCTATATGCAGTTGTGTTGAGTATTTCGTCTCCATCTCCATCGGTTCCGGTCAGCAAAATATCCTGTCGGATACATCAATGCTTGCGCACTGCGTGTGGAAATCCTGCAAAGGTTGTTTATCATGTCCCTTGAATTCAGCTAGAGTTGCGCTGTTCACAGCAGCCGAGGAGAGTGTGTTTCAACAGTTGACACTACGAAGAATGAATCTTGGAAGGCCCTGTCTTTGTGACTGACTTGAATGCATTTTTGGTTGTTTCCCTGGTATTAAGCTGAACATAGTTGTGAAATGGAATCCATTTTTCAATTTTTTTCAGACATGACGTCGAAGCAACGACTCTTTCATACAAATACATTATACTTATTATGAACTCGTTAAGAATTTTAAGATCGTTTCCCATTTTGAGGTCGCGGAAGGCAATTCAATCTTCCGTAGTCTAGCTATGGCAAAATTTGAAGTGGTGTAACTGCATATAACTTCATAGCGACACTCAAAATTTGCAGGCAGAAATTTAGATTATCGTGCGCAGGCCTCTTTATTTTCTCAACTATTTCTTCCCAATTTCCCGGATATCGTATAATCATGGGCATCGCCAGGATATTTTCTAGGGGGGGGGGGGGGAGCAAAAAAAAAAATTCTCCAAATCCTTGGTTCTTTCTGTAGCATATTCTCAATTTATCATTTTTCGAGGGTGGGCGGGGGACATACGTTTTGCCCACCCCACCCCCATTGGCATCCCCGGAGACGCCAATGTTGTGTTAAATGTGTGTTAAATTAATAGCAAATAATGACTTCACACCTCTTTTATTAATTTTTTTCTCCCTTCCCCCCCCCCCTTTTTTTTGGGGGGGGGGGGGGTGCACAAAGCCCCCCCCCCCCCATTTGTCCCCCCCCCACGACGCCCCTGCGTAGGCCTATAAGTTCTGATGGGTTTGAATACTTGCCTCATTATATTTGTGTTATATTTTAAAGTCTATTTTAAGGTCTGTGTTCATGCTTGTTTCTTTTTTTCTCCACTGAAGCCCCTTACGATGAGTGGCTAGTCTTTGCGAGAAGCAGAGGGACAACCCCCATCATTAAAAAAAATATATAAAAAAATAAGAAACATGCACTACGGTGGAATGTTCCAAAATGATGATACCTGTCATCCAAAGAGCCTTCACAGAATTACCCAAGGCAAGTATTGTTGTTTTGTTTTTAGAGCCTGATTGACCTATGAGAGAAGACATATATTCTAATGATGGATTCATAAAAACATTACAATGATTAAGCGATTATTACTCAGGAAAACAAAACAAAAACCGATGAGAAAAACATATACATCTAGGGCACTAGTAAAGGGGCCTAGTATAATATATTATAGTAGGCCATAATATCTAAAATACTATTGTACTCGTCCTTTTGTTATGAGTTATATTTTATTTTATACGTAGTGGCTGTACAAAAACCAATGATTTCAAAATAAAATATACAAACCCTTCGAGAAAAATGAACAAATAACATGTTTTGGTAAAATTCTACTCAGCTGGCGATCGATACATTTTCTTAAGCGTCCGCAAACGACATCTGACAATGTCTGAAACACAATGGCAGATATAGCGTCATTCTTGTCTCAATCATCAGGACAGTAATCCAGTCTATGGCAACCTTTGAGACCGCCGCACTGGTGATCCAAAGCACCGTCGTTCGTAATGCACTATTACAGCTGGGAACCATCAGCATAGTGCATGCGCTATGCATGATGCACATTAAAAATAGCATTACTCATTTAGCATGCAGCGTAAGTTAAAAATGGGAAAGTCGTTCGGAGAGCATTGAAGCGGTAAGTGTATTCAATGCTTATTGCTTTATTTTTAACAGTATCGTTTTCACACAGTTGTGATCATCACGTACTGTGACGTGAACTGTTGAAAAACTCGACGAAGTCTACTTTTTTTTGGCTAGAGGGAGTAGAGCGATGCGTGCTTGAACTTGAAGTTGAACCGGAACGTACAATTAAAAGACTGGCAGTGTGCATGCATAGCTCTACTGGTCTGGTGCATGCTAGTCACTCACCGCTCGCTCACGTCACGGTGGATCGCAATTTGGAATGGAAAGAAAGCATGTTGCAGCCTGACGTAGTCCCATAAATGTGACTGAACATGCTTGCTGAAATACTGGACTACTTCCGTATATCAGTACGTCACAGAGAGCCACGTACGGCCTGTGAGCGGAGCGTCCCGTTGCTCATGTTGCTAGGGCGGGAGCCGAAAATTAATTAAAGATCGAAATTATTTTGTCAGCAGAAAATCAACCCAGCTATTATAGCTCCATGGCTATAGGGTAAGTGTATACTCGATCGAGGGGAAAACTCGAACAGCCGTTACTAACCGCTCGATAAAATACGTACGATGTATTCTGTTGTCATAATAAACTTTACACATGATGTGCAGTTCCTGCCCTAGCCCCACTAGCGTGGCCGCGGTATGCTGCGCTGAACCTCTGGCCACACACCGTGGTACCGCGCACTAGTACTTAGGGCGTTTTCATAAAATTTACAGGCAGTTTCTTACATATGGTTGTATTCTATGACATGTATGATGTCCCATCTATCACGGCTGTTTCCTGTTCCAATTAAAAATGAAAATAATACCCTGCGCATGCGCTGCACGGGCATCGATGTCGACGGCTTGGACGACGCGCACGACACAGGAAACAGCCGTCGCATTTGCAACTCGCGCCCTCGCTCGACAAGCAATTTGCATGAATGCGACGTCACAGCTTGAGGTCATCTCTTGTCACATTCAAAATGGCTGTCATCACCAGACGTTTCACGAGTGCATATGGGCTCCAGAAAGATTCAAGAATATCTCGGAAAATTGAACATCATTACACCTAAGCATCCCAGAAGTGATAGATGGGACATCATAGAATACAACCATACATGTATGTAAGAAACTGCCTGTAAATTTTATGAAAACGCCCTCAGTAGTGCGCGGTACCACGGTGTGTGGCCAGAGGTTCAGCGCAGCATACCGCGGCCACACTAGTGGGGCTATTCCTGCCCTTGATTGTCTTTTGTTCAGAAATCAGAACAGCTCCATGAAATCTTTGTGTAATTTAGTCCAAAGTTGAACTCGCGTACATGTAAGCCGTTGTGCGGTGCGGTGGCCATGTTATTGGGTCACGGGTATCATTGGTGGCGCTCTTTGAGACTTTACAGAGGTGATGACGTCAAATATCAAGCCAACCTGTCAAACATTATTGGTTAGGTCATCAGTTTGATGCATGATTGGCTGACAATGTTTATTGGGCAGGGCTGATATAGGGGTGACCAAATTATGACCAACAGAGGGCGCTGCTGTGGCTGTTTTTCGATCACCGCGCTTATTGTATTGGCTTGGCGCGGGGGCGCGCGCGCGCGTTGAATTGGATCGGGCCCTGAGATTCACTTTGAGATTTTAAGGGTTGATTTGTGTAATTTATGGGTTTAATTTTTATTTTCCCTGGAAATATTTATTTTTATGATGTAATTTATTGTAAAGAAATGTAAAAGTGGTGGGAAAAAAACTTTCCGTTAAAAACAAAACAATTAACACGCCCTAATGCCCTATCGAGTTCTGCTACATGCTGATTGAAATCTCCCACAGGTTGAATTTCTCCAAAGCCTCAGGTTAGAAAAGGAAAAAAAAATTGAGTGCAAAACTGAGATGCGAACCCGCAACCTCGCGGTGCAAAATCCTACCCTCAATAGACTGAGCTGTCGCACTGCTCGCTAAAACGTAGGGAAACAAATAATTATATACCTGCGTGCGTATCAAAAAAGTATCGTAGAGGGCGCTAAACAACGGCTGCCGTAACGATAGCCACTTCCTTAATTTTAATTGTATTTGTACACAACTGGCACTGAACTGACTGATCTGCTGATGTAGCGTATAGTGTCAGGTTGCAACATTCTTTCCCATAATTTCACAGCCGTTGACAGTAACAAATAATTCATGATCATGTGTCCGATCTTTCACTTGTTGAACTTGACTTGAAGTTGTAATTGTGACTTTTCAGTCTCTTGACACTGTCTCTGTGTCCTGGGTTTCTTCAGTGTTCATTTCTGGAGTGAGTCTTTAGGCCTGGTGGGCAATGGTGGGTGTGTACAATGTATACACTCAGTGTGACACTCGATTAAATCAAAATTAATTCGACTGTAACCAAACTTCTTTTTCTCGAGATTTCTTTCACTTATTTGAAGGTCTATCATTTTGCAATTGTCGGGGAAAAGACATTTTGGAAATTGCTTAAACGTATGAACATTACCCACGATCCAGTTCGGTGAAATATCCGCTTGTTTTGTAACTGTAAAGGAAACATTCTGGTTTCCTGCAGAACATTTTGTCAACATTTATCGTTTTTAATTCACCATATGGTTTTCTTGTGAAGAAATAATCTGAAGTATCGCAGAGTAATAATGGTTTGGGCATTTGAATAAACCAAATAGCCGTATTCGCCGAAAATGTTTATCCCCGTGCGAGCAGTGAGACTAGTTACAGATCACCCGTGCACACAATGCAGTTTGTGTGCAGTCTACATTGTGAACATGATGAAGGCGCAACACACGACGCGCGCGCTGAGTGCACTGTGAATTCTGAATTTGTACATGAATGCGGTAGCGCAGCGATCCGCAGTTGCCAAAAGTGATCCACAACTGTGGGGTTCCATTCAGTCCTGTGCAAAAGCCATGAACTACATTGTATTTCCCTGTAAGTTGAGTCTGTGTGAACATACACATGTACACGTATGTATTTGGTTTTAACTTAAAGAGGAGGAATTACTAAGGGAATTAATGTGTGTTTGGGAGGTATTATAACACTCATAAACACCGTTTCAGTAAAAATAAAACATCTTTTCCTTCCAAAAATCAAAACAAGTCAAAAACTACACATTGCTAACCATTTTGTTCAACAATTTTACTTCATAATGCATCAAACACCCCTCTGATATGGAATGTCCCTCTGCAATTCCTCAGTTATAACGAGATTGGCGTGCACGTTGCGTGTACTGCACGATTTCGCACAAAACGCAGCTGGGCGGGTGTAGCGTGAATTTCGGACTATGAAATACTGATTCAGTGGTAGTATTGCACATGCCTACAGGAGCAATGTGAACGTTCAACCAACGGATTTCATGGGAGTTCAAATTTCATGTGACGCTGGAAAAGTGTTTAAGACCAGCCGGCCATGTCCAACCTTGTCCCCTGTGTGCTTACTTTATTTCCAACCTCGTTTCCAATAGTAAGCCCTGGATAGGAAACTTTCTTCCTGTAACCTGATTCGAATCTTACCCCAGTTTGTTAATAATAGATTTATGTAGTTGTTTTTTCCAACGTGCATTACATGTACGTGTTTTCACGATCATTGTATTTAAGACGTCCACGCTTTCTCCATAATAATCCTTTTCATTCCAGTTCGCTCATATTAATATGAAAATAATGTGTTACTGCATATTGGCGGGCCAGATTGTAACATTTTAACTTCCAAAATATCGTGTTTTCATAACGCACGGCGCGACAAATTGATGCTGTTTTTTTTCCCCAGACACCGCATACAAAAACAAATGCAAATTTAATGCACATACAGGCACCAGACTATTCCTCATTTGCACGTGTTCAAAAATCTTGCACATGTATGCAAATGATCCAATACCAGGGTGAGAGAGCAGGTAATGGTGGGCGCGTACTGCTCGGCACCCTGGGGACGAGGTTGAGCCATGTCTAAATCATCCTTTTACATTTAAGACCGCCCACATGACGGGCTCTTAACCAATAGGAATGGGTAAACTGTATTAATTTATGAATATGAAATGATGTCACTCGGACACGGAAACTCCAAACATGGATGGGTGTACATGTACAGCGTCTGTATAAAAAGTATTCCAAAGCTGACTACGTCGATCAGTTCAACCAGTTCAGAGTGGGAGGGGGAGGGATTGTCTTCTTTTCATCGCGCAACAATGAATACGCTGACTGTTACAATTGTCAGCCTTGGTGTATTAACCCTAACCCCCTAGGCCCTTGTTGCTTACAACCATCCTCAATCCTCCAAAATCCTCCAAAATTTTTCAACTCCGCCTAAATTTTTCAAAATTGTCAGACAGTCCTGCCTCAAAATGCATTCATCCTCAATCCTCCAAAATCCTCCTCATCCCAAAACTTTGCACTCGTGTTTAAATGAAGGATAACCAACGCCAAATCCTTCAAAATCATCAGACAGTCCTGCCTCAAAATGCATTCATCCTCAATCCTCCAAAATCCTCTTGTGCTTCATTCACCATTCATCCTCAATCCTCCAAAATCCTCATGTGCTTCAATCACCATTCATCCTCAATCCTCCAGAATCCTCATTTGATTCAATCACCATTCATCCTCAATCCTCTAGAATCCTCCAAAACCGCCAGGAGGATTTTGGAGGAGTGAGGTGGGTTAGGGTTAACGATTCAAGAGAAAGAAAGTAGAAACATCAATAATATAAAATGTCAAATGTTAATTGAATGAGTAATAAATTGCAAAGGTTAATTGGAACATTAATCACCCCTGAAAGGTCTAAAATCTTCAAATTCAACGTAGACATGATAGATCAGTTTGTACTTTTGGCTTTATATTACCATGAATATTGATTTCCTTTATTTGAGGGGGCTGACTTGTTTTAATTGCTGTTTCGCTTTGTTTGCTGGCCTGTAATTTGTCATTGAATTTTGTCATTTCTAGCCGTAACATCTGTTATGTTTCAGAATTGCCCATATTGTTGATTTCACATTTATTAACCCTACACTGTACATTTGCAATCCTGCAAAATCACCAAACTGCAAGTGAAAATAGTATACAGCCTCGATCCTGCAAAAGGACGTAATTTCTTGAATGTGGTCCTTGGAGAGGTGACCACTGGCTCAATCCTGCAAAATTCTCCGGCAGTCACTGTCTGTACAATGTACCGGTATGTTGAGGCAGAGCCAGTGATATCCTGGAGCAGTGCGAAGGATTTCAAGTGTATACAATGTACATGGTATACAAAATGTATGTATAGATGTACACAGTACATGTTGGCCTATATTTATACCTACAAGTGCTGACATGCTGAGCATAAACTACATGTACACAAGGTCCAGCCCCTTAACCATGTTGACACAGTGCATCCTCTGAATTTAGCAACACACTTTTGCCATGCAGCCTCAATCCTACAAAATCCTCCATTTTGTAGAGAGGATTTTGGAGGATTTGGGAAGGGACATGTAAGGGTTAAGGTTGTTGTGTGAATTTATAATGCTTGGAAAGTTGAAACCAGCGCATTTGGCAC